ACAAGAATTTTTTTCTCCAGTTTTTTTATTTTATTTTACTTTTTTTTTTTTGCCGTGGCACTAGTAATAGTAGTTTTCTTTTTTACCTTTTTTTTTTTTTATTTTCATAAAGTTTATTAATTATTAATTTAAATTTATTTATTTTTTTTTTTTATCCGTGATGTATGTTGAGACGCCATTTTGTTTTTTTATTTATTATTTATTTATTTAAGTACCTGGAGAACTGGAAAACAGAAAAAAAAAAAGTTTTCATGCGAATTTATATAAAATAAATCACGTAAATAGGAAAAAATTTTTATTTTATTATTATTATTATTATTATTATCATATTTTTTTCACTCTTTCTCTCTCTCTCTCTCTCTCTCTCTCTCTGGAGTCCAATTTATACTAACAAGTTACTACTCCTGGTACACAAAGGAAAAAAAAAAGGAGAAAAGGATATATATATATATAAATTTTTTTATTAGATTGCGGAAGTGGAAAAATAAAAAATTTTCCACTTCTTTTTTTAATAAGAAATACTTTTTCTGATAATAACGATGATAATAATAATAATTTTCTTTTTTTAAATGGTAGTAGTAAATGATGAGTTAATAGTATTTAAATCAAAAAATTTTTTCTAAATAAAAAAAACTCACTGGAATAATAAACTGGAGAAGAAGGTAAAGAAAATGAAAGAAAAAATAATAATAATGAAATAAAAGTTTTTTTTTGTTTGGGAGTAGGAGGGTAGGATGGTAGAGGAGGGTAGGAATGGGGGTTATCTTCGCGGTAAAAACCTGCTGCCACTTTTTTTTTCTTTCTCCAAAATAATTATTCCCATGAAAATATTTTTTTTTTTTCTCCCCGGTAAGTTTCTTCTTATTCCATCTTTTTTTTCTTTCTTTTTTTTTTTTTTTCTATTACCACGAATTAAAATAAATTGCTTTCTCTGGGTTTACCATTTTTGTCCAGTTTTTTTTTCTCTTTTCCTTCTCCCCCACATTTTTTTTTTTTTTTGTGTTCATTTCCCATTAAAATAAAAATAATGTACGATTCTCTACAGAAAAATAATTTCAAAGTTTTTTTTTTTTTTAATGGAAAGAGAGGAGGAGATAGGGAGAGAGGGGAAAAAGAGAGAAGGGGGAGCAGTAAATAAATCTACCGGAAAAGGTAGATTTAATGAGGAGCCCCATGAGAACGTGGAATTTTTTTTTTTTTATATATAAATTATTTCTTCAATTGAAATAATTTTTTTCTCATGTTTTTTTTTTTTTTTTTTAATAGTTTATAATGATAAAAATAATAATAATGATGATGATAATGATAATGAACAACAACAACAATAATAATAATAATAAGTAATAAATAAATAAAAATAAAATTCTATTTAATTTTATATGATAAAATAAGAAAAAATAATTATTATAAATAAAAAAAATTATCCTTGAAACGCCACGAGTATAAAAAAAATACAAGCGTTAATAAAATAAATAATATAATAATAATAATAATAATAATAATAATAATAGTAAAATGACGTAATCATTAAAAAAATATTTATATGTATGTATACATAAAATAAAATTTTATTTTATTTTTTTAAAAAATTATTATTTATTTACATTTAAATGTGTGTGTGTATTTATATTTATAATATCTATTATCACTCACGAAATTAACTAATGATTGATAAGAATGTTGAATTATTTCACTCACTCACTCACTCATTCATTCATTCATTCAATCATCCAATCGTTATTAAAATAATAATAATAATAATATATATAAGTTTAAATAATTCGTTGTTATTAATTCGATATTTTTTTTTTCTCTCTAAAATAAATTTTCTTTTATTTTTCAAGCCTTTTTAATAATTATTTAAATAAATAAACAAATAAATAAATAAATAATAATAATAATAAATTAAATTAATAAATAATAATAAAGTTTAATAACAATAATAATAATAATTTTTATTATGTAAGCAAAAAAAAAAAAATTTATAAAAACATGACTAGATTCAATTTTCTTTTTATTAAAATTTATTTTCATTATTAATTCAAGTTTTTTTTATTATCATCATTATCAATATCATCATTATCATCATTATCATCATCATCATCATTATTATTATTATTATTATTATTATTATTATTGTTATCATTACAATTTTTCTAAATCCGTTAATAATTATTATTATTTGACAAAGTCAAACGAATTTGTTTTTTTTTATTAACGTAAAAAATTTATTTTGCTCGACATTTTATTTATTTATTTATTTATTTTTACATTTGTCATTTGACACTATTTATTTATTGATTTTTTTACTCTATGAAAATTAAAAAATTTTATTTAAAAAAATATAAAAGTCATAGAGAAAGAGAGTAAGATAGAGTAAGAAAATTTCAAGACATGACATTTTTTTTTCTATCATCTTACAACAAACAACATAAGCATTTTACTATCAATCAAAATTTCACTAAGAAAAACGAAAATAGAAAATCATTATTATTATTATTATTATTATTATTATTATTTAGTCTGAACTAATTTCTGAACAAAAAAAAAACTAAATAAAAAAAAAATTATAAATACATATAATTTAAAAAAAGAAAAGAAAAGCGGAAGTAAATAAGAATATTAAATCGCGAACGAACGATATGTATTCATTTAATCATCATGTTATAATTATTATTTTTTTGTCGTGTGTTCACGTGATGCAATAATTTAAAATCCATAGAAAAGTCGTGGCAGAAGATAATACTGTAATTTTATTAATTATTCTATACGATGGTGGTGACGATGGTGATGATGATGATGATGATAAATCCGACGATTCATCATCTCCTTCTGATGACGAATCGAAATTATTGTCTCTCAAATCTTTGTATTCTGGAAAAAAAGAAAAATTTATTACTATTATTATTAGGGTAATAAAATGTCAAAGGTCAAATTAAATAAAAAGTAGAGATAGAAATAGAGAGAAAGAGAGAGAGGAGGGGGGGGGAAAGAAAAAAAAAAAATTAAAAAGTGTAAAAACGAAATTAAAAAAAAAAAAAAACGTAATTTTTAAACTCTTACCCCTTACGATCGCTTATTCGTTTTTTTCTTTTTATTACCGTTTAATATTAATTATTACCGTAATAATTTTTTTATTACTTATTTTTTTTTTATTTTGTTACTCACCGCCGGCCATGTCGAAACCTATTTCGTTCGAATCATATTTTCGTCCTGAAACAAATTTAAAAATAAAAAATATATAAAAAAAAAACAGGTAATATATATTTTTTTTTTATTATTATTGTTACAATAAATCAAAATGTGTTTTTTGAAAAAAAAAAACGTGGTGGTAGAAAAGGAAGGACGAAAGGAGAGGAAAATTTTTTTTTCAATACGAAGAGTGAGAGAAAGAGAGAAGATGAAAAAGAAAAAAAAAGAGTCTGAAAAGAAAGAAAGGAAAAACATGGAAACCCGATTAGAATTTTTTTTTTTTTTAATCCTTAATTTGGTTTCTAATTTATGGCATCATTCATCCACCCCTGGTCGTCGTCTGCTGTCGTCTCCCTCACGACGACGACGACGACGATGACGACGACAATATCGAATGATGAAATATTGAATAAATAAGAAAGAAAAAAAAAAAAAAAAGGAAATTGATATGAAGGGATGAAAAAAAAAAAAAAAACGAGATGAATAAAATTTCGTGTGTGGGAAGTTAGATAAATAGATAAAGAGAGAGAGAGTAGGAGAAGGGGGAGAGGGTAGAAGGAAAATTTTTTCGGGGGATGAAAAAAGATGGAAGATAATAATAAAAAAAAGTATGTTAATGTCACACGACATCGGTTGTTGGTGGCAGCTTTTTTTTTTTTTTTTGCGTCGGTGCCTGTCGCTGGGGGGGATGAAAAAATAAAAAAAGGTTGTCGTTGTTACCTTACCGCCGCCGTACCCTCCCTCTCCCCTCCCCCTCTTTATCCTTTTATTCTATAAATATTATTATTATTATTATTATTATTATTATTTTCAATCTTTGTCTGAAAATTCAAAAAAAAATTGCAAGGGTTGGTTATTTCATTTAATTTCAATGATCATATTTTCTTCAACCCTTTCTCCCACACTCCACCCACCACCTACCCCTCCCTCTCCCTTTTTTTTAATTTTCTTTTTCTCTTTTTTTCCCGCGCTTTTTTTTTTTTTAAATTATTTCCTTCCTTCCTTTTTTTTTTTTTTGTTGAATATTCAATATGTAATTTTTGTTTACAAGGGAAAAAAAAAAATGCACATGAAGAGGGTCGTCGTCGTCGTCGTCGTTTGGTTATTGTCGTGAACAACATAAATCAATGGAGTTATTATTATTTTCATTATTATTAATATTGTTTTTTTTTTTTTTTTCTAATCGGAAAATTTCATTAATCGATAAAAATTTTATTTAAAAAAATTTTTTTTTTTTATTCTGGAAAATTGGTAGTACGTAGATTTAATTTTTTTTTCTGATTTTTATCGGGATGTTAAAAAAAAAAAGAAAATGGCGGATCAATTTTTAAGGGGTCGTGTGATATTTTACCCTTTTGTTTTTTTTTCTTTTCTTTTATTTTTAAACACACACGCGGTCAATTTTCCCCTTTTATCCCTTTCTTCCCCCTCCCAAAAAAAAAAAAAAATTTTTTTCTTGGTATTTTGTTTCTTTCGACGATTTTTCTTTTCTTTTTTTTTTCTCACGAAAATTGTCATCGTAGTTAGCAACAAGGGATTTTAATCAAATTTGAATTGAGGGGCGTATGAAGTAGGGGGTGGGAAGGGGAGGGTGATAAGAAAGAAAGAAAAAGGTACAAAAAGTTATGAAAAAAATATAAAAAATATTTTTTTTTTTTTTTTTCATATTTTGTAACTTACCTTTATTTCTCGTCCTATGGGAAATTTCTCTAGTAACTTCTGAAAAATAAAAAATAATAATAATAATAATAATGATAATAATAATAATAATAGTACGACGAGGAAATGCGAGCAAAGGTGGTACTCACGATATAGTTTTATACTTCCGTCTGTGTGCCCCAAGGAATTTTTCGACACGCACTTGTACGTGCCAAAATCTGAAGCGGAAACGGATTTTATAATGAGCTTCATGTGAACCTTATATGCATTGTCTACTAATTGTGGTTCGTATTTGTTACCTGTTCAAAACCGTAAATAAATAAATAACAATCGACGAAAACAAACATGAACAAAAACAACGGCGTCGAAAACATGTTTTAAAAACGAAAAAAAAAAACGGCGGGAAAAATTACAACATACTTTATTTATTTATTTATTTATTATTATTATTATTTATATACACGCTTATAAATTCTCGTATACGTTAGGAAAACGACGATAATAAAAAAAAAAAAATTTTTTTTTGTCATCTTATTTTTTTAAAAAAAAAAAAAAAAAGCTAAAAATGTTGAGAGAGAGAATGAGAAAATTTTCATACGTTATCGTACGAGCGCCATTTTTTAATAAACCCGTCAATCACAGCCTTCTAAAATATGTAAACAAATTTCCCCGTTTAAAAAAAAAAAATTTTCTTTATATTTTTCCCGCCTTTTTTTTTTTTTTTCCTACCTCATGCTTAACAAATTTTTATTAACCGAATGAATAAAATGTATTGTCGAAAGAAAAAAAAAGCGCGCATAATTTAAAAGGTGGTGTTAAAAAAAAAAAAAAAAAAGCAGAAGAGAAAAAAAAAATATATATATATATATATAATCGTAAATCAAATTAACTAATATTTATGTTGTTAAACATTAAATGTTTATATTATGTTTATTATGTTGTTCGTAATAATAAATATTCAAAAAAAATTTTATTTTGAATTTTCCCGCGTAAAAAAATTTTTTTTTTATTTAATAAACGCGTGTTGTATATACTCGAACGTACCCCTCGCAGCACACAGCCTTCTTTATTTGTTTACAATAACAGTCGTGACGTCACGTGACGTTATTTTCATTTTCGCTTACGTTGATTGATGTGTTAATTGGGTAAAATGCCTAAGGAAGATACTTTGTTCACGAGTTTAATTGACATGATCGCGTTAGAAGAGGGACTTTTTTGCGAGAGTAGCGGATTAAGGAGATGGCAAAGAGCTAGAAATCACATACTTCACGGTTTGGAATTATTTGACGGCTCCGCTTTTCGTTACAGCAGTAAATTTGGACCTCAAATAGCTCCCGCACAATCTCTCTATTTTATCGTGACCGTTTCGAAAAGGCCGAAACTCGAAAGGTTGAAATTATAATAACGAGAATCATTATCATTATTATTAATTTTTTTAAAAAATATCGTTCGACGTTAAGGTAGCAGTACTACGTCCAATGGCAATAAATAATAATAATAATAATAATTATGGGAAAATTATGAAAAATTTTGTTTGTTTTCTTTTTTTCTTTTTCTTTTCTTTTCTTTTCTTTTCTTCCAGTTAAACAAGCGAGAAAATAAAAAAAAAAAAATCTCTCCAAAGAATTTTATCCAGTTTTTTTATACACAAAAAAAAAGAAAAAAAAGAGGGAGAAAGTTTTTTTTTTTTTTTTTTTTATTTTGGTCTGGAATACGCCATTAAGGATTCACGTCACGCGGGTCTAGTTTTAACATTATTCTTAATTTTCATCATCTCTCTCTCTCTCTTCTCAAGGAAAAAAAAAAAAAAATGATGAAAGAGTGTTTTAAACAAAAATTTAAATGCTAATTTATTTTATGCGGCGGCGGCGGGGGGGGGGGTGACAATGGGGGTAAGGGGGGGGGGGGTGAAAAAAAAAAAAAACAAAAAAAAAAACTTTTCAAGTGTCTCGCACAAATGCAACAACCGATATTATTGTCTCGATTTCAATTCATCATCATTATTATTTTTTTTTTTCTTACCGCCGCTCCCACCCTCCTCACCCCACTCCTTCCCCCGTACTTTAATAAATTTTTCTATTATTATTATTATTATCCCATGGAAAAATGCAACAAAAAATTTTTTTTTTTTTAAAACATGGCGTCGTGTGTTCGTTTAAATTAAAAATTAATACTAAATTTAATGGAGTCTCTATTTTCATCATCATTATTATTATCATCGAACAACTTCCGGTTTTTTTCTCTTTCGATTTATTAATCAATAATAATCGATGTACTCTTAGTAATAATAGTAATAATAATAATAATTAAAATAGAAAAATTATTCGATTCTTTTGCACTCATACGAATTTCGATTCCGTGAAATTCAATGATTGATTGTTTGATTGATTGATTGATTAAAAATTGCAGGAAGGAAAGAAGGAGAGGAAGGGGGGGGATAATGGAAAGAATTCACGTACGCGAAAGATTGAAAAAAAAAAAAAAAAAAAAAAAATTGTTTAGCCCGGAGTTGTTAACATCGGAAATGGAATGGAATTATGCTTTTTCAATAAATGAATTCATTTAAACCCGTTGTTTGCCCTTTGAATTTTTTTTACACTCCAGTAGCGAAATCGCGATTTTATCCCTCCCCCTCCCCCCTCTCTCAAACTTATTCTCTCTCTCTCTCTTTTTTTTTGTTGCTTAAAATATTCTTGTGCGTTTTTTCCCTCTCGTTTTCATGCGAATTACCATGTATTTATTTATCAAAAAATTTATTATTATTATTATTATTATATAAATAAAAAATCGACGATGTGGAGAAAGGAAAAGTGGGGGAGGGGAAATGAGGGAGGGGGTTTGAAAAAAGTTTTATTTAAATAAATAAATAATAATTTTTTTTAAAAACGTGTTGCATTCTTTCTAGAAATTTCTTTGCGTTTTATTTTTTTTTAAATTTTTATTTTCCTGGAAAACTAATAATTGTTATTTTAACGTATAAAAACCGCACGATACCCCCTTCCTCCCACCTTCCCACCTCCACCCCCCAAAATAACTTTTTTTATATTTTTTGGTCGATTTTGATTATAACGAAAACTATAAAAAATTTTCTTTTTTTTTAAAATTTTTACGGAATTTATCATCATCATTATCATTATTGGTAAACGTGTTGGAGAAAACAAACGTACGAGTTAATGAATTAAATATATACAATAAAATAAGAAACAAACAAAACAAACAAAAAAACAACAAACAAACGTTAAATAATTTATGACTAAAGTAAAAAAAAAAAAAAAAAAAAGAAAAATTTTTTTTTTGCAACAGCAAAACATAAGAAATTTTCTCACAAATGTTTTCGTCCGTAAATAATAATAATAATAATAACAACGATGATGATGATGATGATGATGATGATGATGGAGACGATTTTAAAATAAGTGAAAAAATTATCGAAGGATTTGTGCGGAGTATAAACCGGATGTAACAACACGTTTCCTTTTAATGGTAAAAAAATAAGTGAGTACGTATGTATTAAAAACCATTTCCGGAATGAAAAAAAAAAAACGATAAAAAAAGGAGAAGGAGTAGGGAAAAGGATGGAAAATAAGGGATGAATTAAAAAGAAAATGAAAAAGTAAAAATAAAAAAAAATTTCGGAAATGGTAAAAAGGGAAACAGACGTATTCCCATGATAAGATCGCGAGGATGGGGGAGGTGGAAAATTTTTTTATCATTTTCATCGATTTCCTTCTTCCTTTTGAATCGTGGAAGGAGAGAGGTAAAGTAAAAACGTGTCGGTGGTTGTATAAAAAAAGAGAAAGAGAAAAAGAAGATGTGGGGAAAGCAGGGATTGGGAATAGGGTAAAAGAGAGATAGAAAAAAATGGCGGGAAAATCCATTTTCCTGATTTCATTTTTTTAAAATGCTTTGAAAGTAAAAAAAAGTCTGGACGAAAAAGACGAAGAAGAGAAGAAGAAGAAAAAGAAAAAGAAATCGGTTTTCGAAAAATAATAATAAAAAAAAAATAACCAAAAAAGGAAAAGAAGGAAAAAAAGGAAAAAAGGAAAAGGAAAAAAAAAGGAGAAAACCTTTTAAATAAATAAAAATGCACGTTTAAATCGACGAAAAATTGATTTCCGGTTTTTTTTTTTCATTTTTGTTTCCGTTTTTTATTTTTTATTTTTTTCATTTTTCCATTATCGTTCCTTTTTTTTTTTCCCTGTTTTTATTTTTTCCTGTTTCTTCTCTACCTTATAATTATAATGAATAATTAATAATGAAATGTTACGAAGGCACTTGGTTCGTTCTTATTCGTCCTCCATTTTTTTTTTTTTTTTTCAATCAAAATATTTTTTTAAATTTTTTATTTTTCCTCTTCTCCTTCCTTCTTTTACCACCCCCTCTCCCTCTTTATTTCCCTTCCGTTCCTTTTATTATTATTATCATTATTATTATCTTATTTTTTATACCTTAACGCTTTTCTTTAAAAAAATTTTTTATTCGGTTAAATCATCGTAAATAAAATTTCATTTTTATATGACGACGTCACATCATTTCAAATTTTCCCGCCATTTTATTCGTTTAAACGAATTAAGATAGAGTGCGCGCGTGTGCGCGGGATGAGCGTACTTATAAAACTTGTATGTTATCTCATTAAAAAAAAAAATTTTTTTTTTTCTCTCCACTCTGGAGAAACAAAAACTAAAAAAATCTTTTTTTTTTTTTTTTTTTTTGGAGATTTTCGTAGACGATGGTGGGGGGCGTGGGTGTTGAGGTGTTTGGGGGAGGAGGGTAGGAAAACGGCGAACCGGGGAGGGTTTAGAAAGGGGTAGAAAATAAAAAAATATAAAAATAAAAAAAAAAGGTGGTTTTCTTTCTCTTTCTCTTTCGTTCTTTCTTTTTCTTTTTTTTTTTTTTTGAAATTGAAAAGTTTTCAACTGGAAAAATAAAATCAATAAACAAAGTTTTTCATCAGTTTCGGACAAATCTCACGTGATAGAATCAGTTGAATGATTTAAAAGCCAGACGTTGAATGAAATAAAAAAAAAAAAAAAAAATGTTCAATTTTATATTTCAAGAATCAGAAAGAATTGATTTTATACGAAAAAAAAAAAGGAAAAAAATGTGTAAGGGTGACGGGGGAGGAAGAGAGAGAAAGAGAGGTAGGAGAAAAAAAAGGAATCGAAGGAAAAAAGGATGGAAGAAAGGAAAAAAAGGGATGAGCATGGGGGGGGGGGTCTATCGAAATTTATATGCTGTTTGTGGTTTTTATTTTTATTCCCACCGAATATTTTTTTATATGTTTTTCCCAATCCCTACCCCTCGGAAAAAGAAAAAAAAAAGGAAACATCATCCATAAATTTTTATCGATAAGGAGGGAAAATAAAAGATTAGTTGGAAAGTGATTGGGGGTGAGATAGAGAGAGAGAGAGAGGGAAACGACGAAGATGAGGACTTACCTTGTGCTATTATATCTCCTCTATCTCCAGTCCAATAATTAATTGATTTAGGATATGCTTCTGAATGACATTCCAAGGTCACTTCTTGTCCTTCGAAAGCTCCAACGAGTTGATTTTGTATCCAAATCATCGGAGGAACTAAAATGATGATGGAAATAAAAGAAAAATCCGTGACGACAAAAAAAAACGAGTTTTTTTTATGACAGATAACATAACATAAAACTCACAGTGAACGATTAACGTTATCCTTTTACTAACGCTAGGAGGAACACCGTTGTAAGCAATGCAAAGATAAGCACCCATGTGAAGTCTGCTAACTCTGGATATGTTAAAAACGGATCCATCAACGCTTGAAACTGTAACGGGAGACATTTTGAATTTTGACATGAGAAAACAACAACATTACACCATTTGTTTTGTTTTGCTGTCGTTTAAAAAAAAAAAAAAAAATTTTTTTGTTTGTTCATATATAAAAACAACCTTCTTGACCCTGTCCAACGGGTATCGTTTCTCCTCCTTCTCTTTTCCATATTATTTTAGGTTCTGGCATTCCTTTGGCTGCACATCTCATCGTAACATTACTTCCTTCTCTTGCAACCATATCCGTACTCGTGGGATAATCAAGTATATCCGGTGGTACTTTAACAAACAAACAAAAAATTAATCCGATAAATCATTTTTAGAAAATTGGAAAATTATGTTTTTCGTCTTTTTTGTTTTAATGATGACGTCAAATTATCTAAAACAACAACAACAACAACACGTTTGGAAAACAAGAGAAAATGTGTTTAATAAAATTAACTTAGAAAATGTATTTTCTCGTGTTATTATTATTATTATGTTTTTTAATATAAAACTAACAAGAAACATAAAAACAATGTCGATGACAAAAATACGAAACCAGAATTTGAGGAAAAACACAAAACACAAAACTGGTTGCATTTTACTTTCTTCACAATCTCTTTCCGCCATTTTTTTTTTTTTTGTTTTTCTCTTCTTTGTTGGAACTTTTTGACAAATTTTATATAATAAAATTCTTCTTTTTTTTTTTTTAATGTGAAATAAAATAAGACCCAACATCAACAGTTTTGCCAACTTTTCTCTTTTCTATTTTTTTAAAAATCGTATTTGTTTTCATCATTTTTAAAAAAAAAAAACAGAGAGAGAGAGAGAGTGAAGGAAGGAGAGAGAAGACGTGGAAGAAAAAGAAGAAAAGATGGCGGTGGTAAGAAACAATTTATTAAAAATTAATCATGGCGTGAAAAAAAGAGTAAAAAAAAAATTAGGAAGGATAAAGATAGAGAGAGAGAGAGATGGAAAGGTATAAAAGGATGTTTTGTATCCGATCCGAGGGAAAAACGAATCAGATAAATGAACGATCTTAGAAAAGATGAAAATTTAAGTAATTAATCCAATGAATGATGGAGTGGAAGAAGAAAAAGAAGAAAAAGAAGAAGAAAATTCTGGCAAAAGGAAAAGAGTTAAACTTTTAACTGACGATGCCTAATATCTAATAGAGTAAGTAGTCTCTCTCTCTCTCTCTTACTCACTCGTCGGATAGAGCCAAACCTTCGATCGGTTGAACGATCCCAAATCGAAATTTAATTTAGTTTAGAAAACCCTAAAATGTTGGAAAAAGGATAGTAGTAGTTGTAGTTGTATACGATTGAAGAAGAAAAAGAAGAAGAAGAGAAATAGGAAGAGGAAACGGAAGGAAAGCGGAAGAGGGAGGGGAGGAAAAAAGAGGAGAAGGAGAAGGGAAGGGGATCGAGATTTTCTTTTAATTTATGCCCCTTTATTCGAAAAAGCTTTTGCCCAACTCCGGGGAGCCTTCTTTTAAAAACTAATTACTAAAATGTTTATCATTTAAAAACTGAAACCCTCCTTTTATTTTCCTACCCCTCCCTCCTCCTCCTCCTCCTCCTCAACCCTTTTTCCCTTCGAATGATCAATTCCGGACCGTTCAGACATTTTCTTTTCGTTAAATTTCAAAAAAAAAAAAAAAAAAACTTTAATTTAATGTTTTTTCTTTGGAGAAAAACGAAAAAATTATAATTTGCAAACTGGACGAAACACGTGAGCGAACGCTTCTCCCCCTTCCCCTTCCTCTTTCCCCTCTCTTCTCGTTTGTTGTTGTTGTTGTTAATCCATTTCAATTTCCGCGCCATTTTGAAAAGGGGGAAAGAAAAAAAAAAAAAACGAATCATTTGTTAAAATTTATGAGGTATTTTTTTTTTTTTTTGGAAAAGCGTCGTCGAAATTGGAAAACAAGATGTCATTTCCTCTACGGTCCGGTCGAAAACACAAGAATTCATATTTACGACCTTTTATCGAGAAAAAAAAAAAAAAAAAAAACTTTTTAGGGGATTATCAGTTATAAATTTGTCGGGGCAATAGTCATTTTATATTTTTCTTAAACTATACACGTCGTTACATTTTTTTTTGTTGTTGTTGTTCTTTCAACGTTTTACTTCATAATTTTTTATATCTTTCGCGTAAATTTTCATATATTTTTTTTCTAATGACACGTTTTTTTTTTTTTTTTTAATCTAGGGGAAAATTTTTTTTTTTTTGTTTTTTTGGGAAAGAGAGAAAAAGAAAAAAAATTAATCTGACTTTGATGCAATTTCCCCACTTTGTTTCTTAACAAAAAAAAAAAAAGGGAAAAATTAAGAAAAAGAAAAAGTACGGAGAGGTAGAAAGTCTAGAGTCACGAAACTTTTAGAAACTGAATAGAAAAATAGTTAAGATCAAATCTTAATTAAGAGATTAACTTTTGTTTAAATCGGATTTTATAAAAAAAAAAAAAATAAATAAAACTTTTTCTTTTTTCTGTTTCTTTTTCTTTTCCTTTTCGGAGGAGGGAAAATTGAAAAATAAAAAAAAAACTGTATTTAAAAAGTTAATTGAAATTAAAGTGGCAGAAGAAAACGATAATGAGTATTAAAAAAAAACAACAACAACAACAAAACTTTTTTTTTCCCTCTCTTTTTTTTTCTTTTTACTACGAAATCACCAAAAAAAAATTAATTTGACGATATGAATACTATTTGTAATTAAAAATTCATAGAGTAAATAAACAATTTTTTTTTTTCTTTACCGACGATTTCAATGTAGCCAACTTGACTTTTCATCGGATCCGTATTTATCTGACACATGTACCATCCTCTATCCGATTCTCGAACTTCTTTTATGTGTAAAAACCAGGTACGTCTATCTCTGTGTGTGACGCCGATCCTATGATTTTTAGTTATCACGTGATTTGCTATCGTTAATATCGTTTGAGTATCAACTCTTAACCACGCTACCTAAAACAAACAAGTTAATTAAACAACCAGCAGACGAAAAAATCATCGGTAGACGCCATGTTTTTTTTTAAACGCGTTTAACTCTCGTGTTTTTCAAATCGAATTTTCAATATTTAAATTCACGTGTGTGAAAAACGTTTGTCGTTTGTTCGGAAGGTGGGGAGTGGGGGGAGGGGGGAAGTAGGAAAACGAATGAAAATCTACGCGCGCGTATGGGTAAATAAATAAATAAATATTTTTAAAATAGGAAACGAAATTTTTTGTTACTTTAAAACTAAAACTTTACCCCTCGCGAATGAAATGTATTCGGCTTCCGGTAGGAGAGGAAGTGTCACCAACTTTAATTTCCTTCATATTTAAACTTAACGTACTATTATTATTATTATTCAAACTTCTTCTTGATATTTAACAGAAAATTATTTTGATAACGTTTTAATTTTAATAATAATAATAATAATAAACACTTACCTGTTCTTCTTTTTTTTTTTCTTAAAACTTTTTCAATTCCTTTTTTTTTTATACAATAAAAAAAAAAAATGGCGTCGTCACTCAGTTTTTTCATTTCATTTATTCCGATAAATCGTGGCAATACGCAAAAAAAAAAAAAGGAAAACATCGGTTGAAAATGAAATTTTGTTTGTTTGTTTGTTTGTTTGTTCATCCCGTCAAAACATTGGGAATAACGTGGAAGGAAAAAAAAAAACATGGATTCTCTGGAGAGGAAACCTCAGAACGTGACAAATAAAATAAACGGCCAAAAGTGTATTATTACGTTTTAAAAAAAAAACCAAAAGTTGGCGTGCCTGTGTGAGAGAGAGAGAGAGAGAGATAGAGAATAAAGTGACAGATAGAAGTGAAAAAAAAAAACGGCCTGCCGAGACCATTGGAAGGATAGAAGAGATACCTCCCGTTGTTCCAGAGTAAAAGGAGATGAATTGTTATTGAGGGGAGGAATCGAAGAGTAGAAAGGAAACAAAAAAGAATCAAAGAGCTGAATGTCATGGGCAAAATATTTTCTCTCTCTCTCTCTCTCTCTCTCTACCCTTCCTCCTCCCCTCCCCAAAATGTCAAATCATCCCTCTTACGGATTTATTTTGTTTCAACCCTCTTTGAAACATTTTTCTTGCTTCACTGCGCGTTCACTCATGATCTTTCTATTATGTTTCCCCGCGTGTGTGTGTGTGTGTATTTTCTTTTTATTACCAACCTTTGATTTTTTTTATCAAGTGTGCCAACTTTAAAAAAAAAAACTTAAAGTCAAAACTAAACAAATTTCCCCCCTCCCTTTTATAATAAAATTAAAAAAACGGAAATGAAATTCGTAATTTAACAAAAAAAAAAAAAAAGGAAAAAATTTCAATAAAAGTCATAGAGTAATTAAAAACAAACCCGCGTGTCGTAAAAAAAAAAAAAAATCAAAATAATAAAAATTAAATTATTCCTACTTGAATTATTGTTATAATAATAATAATGATGATAATAATAATAATAATAATAATAATAATAATAATAATAATAATGTTTTTTTTAATGTTATTTTGACCTTATAGAACCGCCGGCCACCTTTTTTCTTTTCCTTTTTTTCCTTTTTTTTTTTAAATTGTTTAACGAACCATAAAACAGGGAGAACAAAAAAAAAGGGGAAGGGAGAGAGAAAAAGAAAACTACAAGAAGTTTCGAATAGGGTTGAATACACGTTCTTAGAGTGGTGGCGGCGGCGGTTTAAGGGTTGTTTTCAAAAAGGGTTTCTAAAATAAAAAAAAGTAAAATCATTTTGTTTTCCGATCGAATTTTTTTTTTTCAATATGTCATCACACACAATTTTATTATATTCATATTTTGAAATATTTATGTGCGTGCGGGGGTAGGGGGAGGGAAGGAAGGGGGGTGCGTGTGTGGGTAGTCTATTAAAACCACTCCTAACCTATTAGTTTTCATTTTGATGAGAAATCAATAGAAAAAAAATTTTTTATTTAAACGATATTATTCATTATTACGACCACCTTTCCCCCCCTCTCTCTCTAGCTTTATTTTTATAAAATAATAATAATGATTAATTTGATAGATAATTAAAAAATGATAACGTATGAGGAAAGAAAAAAAACTAAAAAATTTGATTGTTTCATTTATTATAATAAATAAGTAAATAATAACCCATTGAGGATAATTATATAAAATATCATCATCATCATTATCATCATCATCATTATTATTAGAATTTCATAAAGAATATTTAAAATTCAAACGTGAGAGAAACGTGATGAGGTGTTGGAATAAATTTTTTTTTTCGAAACGCCCAATAACGCCCTAAAAAAAGAAAAAAAATTTTTTTTCTTTTGCCACGTTTTTTTTTTTTTTTTTTAAACAGTAAATTGGCAAAATATCAGGAAAAAAAAATTGAAGAATGGCCATTTAAAAGTTGCCAATGACGAAACGAATTATATATATATATATATATTGTTATGATCCCGTACTCAATATTCACATTTTCAACTTTTTATAAACAAAAGACTGGCGACGAACTCAAATTGTTCTTCTTTAGAAGCGAAGCTTCTAAAGACTCCTTCTTTTATTTTATTTGCAAGTGTTTGCTCGAACATTCGAAACAGTTGACTGACGAAAGACCAAAGTAATATAGGCAAGCTACACAGCTTGGCGTTGGTTCATTTGATTTTTAGTCTAGCTGTAATAAGTTCTTGTTTATTAATATTAGTTTTGTTATAGTGATAGTTTTAAGTGCTTGTTCATTACTTACAAAAATAAAGAACGAACCGAATATAACATATTAAAATTTTGGCGCAGTCGATGAAGGATCATTCTGAACGACAAGAAACCGGAGAATTCTTAAGTAATTCGTTTCATGTTGGTGGGTTTTAACTCTTTATCAGAATTTCTTTATATTGTAAGTAGTAGTTAATAGGTAACTCATTTTGTGAACAATGCCTAAACTTGATCAACCTGTTTTCAACCCATCCCAAATACCCCTTGATTTCTTGTGTAGTCTAGTTCCTAATTTCTTTTCCGGAGAAAGGAACCAACTTAACGCATTTATCTCTGATTGTGATAATGCTATCGAATTGTCCTCTGAAGAGAATAAGTATCCACTCTTCAGATTCATCTACTCCAGAATCACTGGTAATGCCAAGATTCGAATTTCTTTGTACGATTTTGATAATTGGGATGATGTAAAAACAAAACTAATAGAATTATATCAAGACAAGAAACCCCATAGTCAACTGATAAAAGAGTTGACATATCGCAGACAAAAATCAACATGTATCCACTGTGAAGATAACACAATAAAATTGAAGGAAAAACTTAAAATTTTAGAAGTTACAGAATCCAAACTTGAAGTTAAAGAGAAAACAGATCCTTTACCAGAATCCAAACTTGAAGTTAAAGAGAAAACAGATCCTTTACCAGAATCCAAACTTGAAGTTAAAGAGAAAACAGATCCTTTACCAGAATCCAAACTTGAAGTTGAAGAGAAAACAGATCCTTTACCAGAATCCAAACTTGAAGTTGAAGAGAAAACAGATCCTTTACCAGAATCCAAACTTGAAGTTAAAGAGAAAACAGATCCTTTACCAGAATCCAAACTTGAAGTTGAAGAGAAAACAGATCCTTTACCAGAATCCAAACTTGAAGTTGAAGAGAAAACAGATCCTTTACCAGAATCCAAACTTGAAGTTGAAGAGAAAACAGATTCTTTACCAGGATCAATTCCTGCTCAAGAGGAAAAAGCACCCTCTACAAATTTATCTAAGAGAAAGGCTAAAAAAGCACCCTCTACAAATTTATCTAAGAAAAAGGCTAAAGAAGCACCCTCTACAAATTTATCTAAGAAAAAGGCTAAAGAAGCACCCTCTACAAATTTATCTAAGAGAAAGGCTAAAGAAGCACCCTCTACAAATTTATCTAAGAAAAAGGCTAAAGGAGCACCCTCTACAAATTTATCTAAGAGAAAGGCTAAAGAAGCACCCTCTACAAATTTATCTAAGAAAAAGGCTAAAGAAGCACCATTACTTCCTAAAAATAAAAATAAGAAAAAAGGTCTAAAAGTAAAAGAAGAAAGATCATCCATACAGAATTCAAAACCTAAAAATCATCCTAAAGCTGAAATTCAAAAGGAAACAAAAATTTCAAATAAAAATATAGGAGCTACTAAAAAAATTCACAAGCATAATTTTGGGAAGCATACTAAAAAGCGGAAATGGAATTCCAGTACCAAGAAATCTAGGAAGAAAGCATCCATTCTTATGTCAACCGATTTTCACGAAAAGACTATTCCTGAGGTAAAGCTATTTTTACTAAGTAAAGTTCACCTATCGTCTAATGAAAAAGAGAAGATTCAAACCAGTCAAAAATTAGCAAGAGGAAATCTCAATGAAAAACTTAGTCCTGAATTTAAGGATCCATACGAGGTCAAGAAAAAATCTGGCAAAAACGTTTTATTAAAAACCCGTAACAAGGAAGTTACTTATCACAAAACCGTGTTCTGAGTAGTTGATCTAAAGAGAGAGAAATCCAAAATAATAATAATTTAATCCTTTTATTTTCCCATATAGCTAATCATCATTTATTTTATTATTAATCCATTTATTCTTTTCTATGTACCCTATATAAAATTCTTGTATTTTTCAGAACTTATGTCAATTTTGTTTCGAATTCATGTCTCATGATTTTATTCTTTTATCTTTACTCTTTATGAAACAATGTTCACTAACGAGTATTGCCTAGGAAAGGTCTACTACTTGCAGCTATAAAGCTTAAAATGATGTTCCTGATAGA